TGCTTTGTGACTTATCCAAAGCTTTTGACTGTGTCAATCACAGCATATTGCTTCGGAAACTCATAAGATATGGTTTTAGGGACAACAGTCATATTTGGATTAGTTCATACCTTTCTGACAGGAAACAATTTGTAAGAACGTCATCTAACTCGGAAGATGGAGAGATAAATTGTGGAGAACCTCAAGGCTCTGTGTTAGGTCCTATACTGTTTCTGTTATATATTAATGATTTGACCAACATATCGATTACAGAAAGCTTTACTTTATTTGCTGACGACACCACATTAGTGTGGTGTGAAGTGAAGAATTGGTTTGACTCGAATCTTCTATCATTGAATATCAGCAAAACAAATATATTAGCATTCAAGTGGAATATACCTGATATCCCCCTAAACAACAACACAATAAACAATAACTCCGCTTTGAAATTTTTGGGAATTTACTTAGATGAAAATTTTATTGAACACATCAACAAAAAATTGGCAGCACTGAGAAATATCTCAAAGGAACTGGGGTTGCTGTAGCGAAAGTAGTGTACTCTGCCTTAATAGACTCTCATCTAAGGTATGGTATAGCCTTTAGGGTGTTTGCAGTAAACAACTTATGCAGTCGGTTTTTGTCTTGCAGAAAAGGGCTATCAGGTACTTATGTAAAACAAAATGGCGGGATTCATGTAAACCCCTTTTTCGAGAACATATAATCCTTACGGTTATTTCAATATTTATATTGGAAACCGTGTCAATTATACTTAAAATTAGGAAGAACTACGGGTGTGAAGTTATCCACATCCACAACGTACACTGAGAAAAAAATATCGCATTATTATTTTTTCCTTTACCGACTCTGCACTCCTACCATTTTTCAATATGATACGCTTATTGACTAAATTAGTAAAAAAACAGAACCGTCCTAGTTTATTAAACTGTCTGAAGGGGTGAAAATAGGGTGTAAATATTTAAAAAAAACGTAACATGAAAAATCGACTTTGTACACCTACAAAATTGAAATATGTTATTCCTGATGATCNATTAGCTGAAAAATAACAATTATATCAAGCAAAGAAACTGAAATTACAATGAAATAAAATCAATCAAAAATTGAACTATTAACACGAGATGAAAATTAAAAATTGTTAACAAGAAATGAAAATTCAAAATTAAAAAATTCCAAGCTAGTTACTTCACGACGTTTCGATTGTTAGTATCCACAATCGTCTTCATCATCCGACGACATTCAAATCTGAGTATTTATACCTACATTGCCAATGCCTATGATAAATAATTTGGTACCTACGTTGTCTATACCTGGGATAACCTCAATTAATAGCAGTATATCGATGAACATAACAGAAATTTTGGATAAAATGTAGGCTTTGAGAACTGGGTTCTAGGTTCAGGAGATGACTATTGTTTAGAGATCAAGCTGTTCGTTGAGGATAATAGAATTGGTATTTTTCTTTGACTTGTTTATTTCTATAGATTCCAACAAATTCCCTTTATCGCATGTGTGGTGCATTTTTAAATTATCTTTATCTATTTTATGTTTCCAATTTACAGTGTATCCTCAGTGAACATTAATTTCCACAAAGTAAACAAGTCGTCAATCAAAGAAGTCATATTAATCGGATAATTAACCATATCCTCCTCTATCTTTTCCCATGGCAAAGTGATAAATTCTTCTGCGAGAACAACTTGAGTGAAGTGCCAGGATAGTTGAAAACATCTGTACATTGCGAAGTGTGCTCGAAACAAAGTGCCCTGAAGAGGGAAATGACACCCCTATCATTAGCGAAACTGTAAGATCGTACCCGTTTTCTTTCAATGGGCAGATGTTTGAATGGAGAGCCGCAGGTGTTAGAGCTCTATAAAAAAACCCGATTAACACATCGATGAAAGTACTCAATTTAGAGATAATTTGCAATAATGAACATTACTGTGTATACCTCATAAACCAACTGCTGTCTGGAAGTTTCTGCTTTTCGTTCGTTAATTATAATAATATGTTTGACTATCATTATGACGGGTGATTTTTTGAAAGGTATAGGATTTGAGTTTCAAATCACAAAATTTTTTAAAAAGATTGATGAAATTTTTATTGGAATCGATAAAACGATCAATATAATTTAATGTTTGAAGATGATTTCATGCAAATGTCCGCGGCTCCGCTCTAGGTGGCCCATGCGCAAGGTCCAATTTTGGCACACTCCCTCTAACATATCGACCGGTATTTCACGTATAAATGCTTCAATATTGCCTTCCAGAGCGTCAGTCGTTACTGATTTGTCCCTGTAGACATGAGCCTAAACATGACTCCACAAGAAATAATCCAAAGGCGTTAAANCGTACTTTATTAGAATAAATTCCTATCAGAAAACCCTAAAAATGATTTCCAACTCACCCAGTGTTCCGGTTGAAGGTATGCCTCAATGATTACAAAGCTACACACGTCCTCCTCAATCCCCGACAAAATTGTCAGGGGGCGAGTAATGTGTCTGTCTGGCCCAACCAGTCATTGTTTGCAAATATCGGTTATGACTGGCCTTCAGGAAATCATTTTTGAATATCCGGATGATGCATTAGCTTTTCTCAAAAGAATAAATGACTACGTGACTATGTTCAAGTTGAATTTTTGATTTTGAGTTGAATTAACTCACAGAAAAATAATGTACTCCACCTGATTTTCATATCGTCTAGTCAATTATCTCTCTGCCGTAAAACAGTGAATAACCCCTACCTACCCCTAGGGAAATGGGAGTGGACAATCTAAATGACTCATTCTCACCCCTACACAACTATATTGTCAATTAGTCACAACAACAATGAAAAATTGTTTATTATTTAGTGATCCTGGATGAAAAAACTATGAGCGATCTCATCCTCACACACCTATACTGAGGACTTTTGTTGAGTCTCTGGACAGATGTTTCCGAGTTTTAAAAACAAACAAAGGTCACGGGAAAGCTAGCAATCGATTGACATTTCGGAAAAACTAATAGACTACAAACTGTTCGAAGAGGACTCACCATTCGAACAACTGGAATGACGACTTGGCAAACTGTCCTGCACTAACAGTAAATCACATACAGGTAGGTAAACAAGGATTTCTCGTCCGTGGTCGCGGAAAACTTTGATATTATGTAAATACCCGACGGGACTACCTCTCGAGTTGCTTATAATCGGTGGGTGATAAAAAGTACTGTTGCTTTGCTGGTGTTGATCTTCGTCTTTTGTTTTATGTGCGAGACGGCCAACGCGCTGCACTAGGGAAACCTCCTGCAACCTGCAGCCGCGATCGCGAATTATTTTGATAGCGCGGTATCTACTTTGCGTCGACGCTCTCATCTTTGCGGCGTTGCCAGCGGTAATTTTTTGAAGTATTCAGCTATACCGTTACACAGTAGGTAATTTGACCCGAAATCTTGGACAGAAATAATGTTTTGCACTAACAATAATAATGTTTTCATTAATGACGTCCGATTAAGAATATATGAAAGCAAATAACTTCATATTTGATTTTTGTAAAAAACATTTTGAAGCAACGTTCTCAGTGAAGCATAAACAGTGTGATTCTGATTTAAATTGAAACGTTTTTTCGTCAGGGAATAAACAAAAATAATTGAATAGTGCATAATATGGAGAAGAGAGGGGATAGTAGGTGAGTAAATAAAAACAACCACCATATTTTGGTGGACGTTATTGCTCTTGTTAACAAAACGTGTAATTAATTCTAACTTAACCTCAAATAAATGACTTTCCGTTGGCCGGAAAACGTTGGCCGTGGATTAAATTAATTTGGATAATGAACTTTAGAGAAAATCTGTAAATAGTGATATTATTTTTTAGTATTAATCAGTTCCGTTTTCATTTCTACTATACACATACATACATTTGAACAATGAACTTGAAAAAATAATATACTTAGAATTTTATTTATTTATTTCATTTAAATGGCTTCTACGCTATTTTGTTAGTCCCTTCGCTTATTTTCAACTAAGAAAAAAGAGATATGATACAAATTTATTACAAATACGATAGAAACAGTGTTAGGACATCGGAAATGTATTTAAACTTGTATCCCGAAAGACGATAACTACATCGAACAATGTTCAAGTTATTGGATCGAAATCTCATCGAGTTTGTATCATTTGAAAAGCCGAGGAAAAAATACGGAGACAGAATGGACCAGGAAACTAAAGAAAATTTGGTAAATGAGGTATATATGTATGAGGTAAATAAAATTTAATAATTTGCAGATAAACAAGAACCCTGGAAAATCTACACGTTAAATGTCCTCCGAAATGGGTATTTGTCATACAAGCGGTTTAAAATATTACATACTACACATTGCATAATAAGAAGACCTGATTTTCCTGTAAAACTATAACAACATCAGGTTTCAACATGATAGCGCTCCCCCGCACACACTACCAGACGAGTATTTAATTACCTGACTGAACGGTTTGGTGATGAATGGATAAGAACTAATGGGCCAGTGAGGTGGCCAGCAAGGTCTCCAGAGTTAAGTATTATGAATACATTCTTATGGGGTACACTGAAAAATAGAGTTTATGGTCAGAGGGACTATCAAAATATTGAGGACCTTCAACACAGCATTTTTAGATACTTCAGAAGTTTGAGGAGCGAAATTAATCGTCCATAATAATATTCGAAGAAGGGCACAGGTGTGTTATCATGAACAAGACCAGCGTTTTGAGCATTTGCTGTGGTTTACTTTTGTCTTTACAATTTAGTTAATTAGGTATTATTATTTGTTCAAACTTCTATTTTCATTGAAAAGGACACAATGTTTAGTTTACTTCATTTAGTGTTTGTGTTTTGCCCTTAAAAAAACTACGTTACCAAGTGCAAGCCACTGCAGGTGAAAAAAAGACTCGAAGGCTCATAAAAAATCTTGTTTGCGACCCATTTGCGATACAAACATAGGACGGATCCGATAGAGTATTATAAACCCGAGTATTATAAACAGCTGTGGCAAATCATAACAAAATCACAAAATTTTATTTGAGCACTCTGTTAACGTTCTGCATTTATAGTGAGCATTTATTAGATACTTTTTACTATCGGGACAAAAACTGCTAGAACTATACACTGTCTTAAAATCAAATCGATCAACGGTCTCAACTTTAATTCCAAGCTGTGATTACGACACTACTTATCAATTTGTTAACACATTCTAAGCACCGTTAAAAAAGACCTTGATAACATAAGTTATTTAATAACAAGTTCGCTGCGAACAATGACGGGGCAGGATTGCAGTGCAGTGCTTGCCGTTTCCTAGACGATGGAAGAGGTCACGTATTTCATCGGCATTGACGTCGGTACCGGTAGTGTTAGGGCTGCCCTGGTGACGGAATTCGGGAAAATAGTTAGTTGCAGCTCCAAGGCAACGAAAACCTGGAACATCCAGACGGATTTCTACGAACAATCCAGCGAGGATATTTGGAATGCAGTGGTGAGCTGTGTCAAGGTGAGTGGTCATAGACTAGAATGACTAGATAAAGCGTTGAAGCAACTTTTTCGAAACCAGCGGCGTAGTTAAACTGGATTTCCGACCGGTATTGTTTTATTGCTCAACTTGCGTCAGAACATTTCTGGAGAAATGAAACTGCTATAAATTGAAAGATAACACAAATCAACACAAAATTTGACCTCAACGTTAAAGCATTAAATTTCAATTCTTTAGGTCGTAATTAGACGAAAAAAATTATACTGCATGAAAAAGATTGCTTTTTTATTTAGGAAACTGAACGATATTTTTCGAAATATGTGGCATTAATTTTCAATTGAAAATGAAACCATTTAAATGAACATTTTTATTTTCAAATTAACTCACAAAAAACTAGAAAATAATTTAAAAGTGCACACTTTTACTTTTTCTTTTACGTTCATAGGTTCTATCTATCATCTATCTATCTGTCTATCATGTTTTCATTGTATTAGCCTTGATAACGTTTTTCGAAACTCATAATGTCCTGGTGAAAACGTTCTCCTTGTTCTAATGACATCGTGTACAGCCTCATGACATCGTCTCAAAATTTGTTAGCATATTTTCAACTAGCTTTTTGTAGTTTTCGGCTTTGTTATTTCCTAAAAATCCAGAAACGACTGCTTTGAAACTGTCTCACTCGCTTTTTGAGTACGATTCAGGAACGTTGGAAACTTTTCATGCGGACCAACAAAAACCCCAGCTTTAACCTTTGCTTCTGATAACTTTGATAACTTCGGAAAGTATTCAAAAGCTTCTGAGGTTTTATCCAGTTTTTCAACAAATTGTTTCATCAACCCTAACTTGATGTGCAGAGGTGGCATTAACACTTTTTCCGCTTCAATAATTGGCTCAAATTTTACGTTTTCTTTCCCGACACAAAGTTCTGTTCTTACAGACCATGGCCGTTGAGAATAATGCTTAGCAATCGCTCTGCTATCCCATAAGCACAAATACCACGGATACTTTGTATATCCGCTTTGAAGTCCCATCACAAATCCCAGCATTTTAAAATCTCCAATCAGCTGCCAGTTATAATCGCGATACTTCAAGCAAAATTTTAACACTTTCATGATTTTCTTTAAGATGTACTGAGTGAGCGATTGGAAGAGATGGGAATTCATTTCCATTGTGTAATAAAACAGCGTTTAAGCATTTGTGGAGCTGTCAATGAATAAACTCCATTCGCTAGGAACACAAGGTATGTCAATTTCTTCAAACATAGCTTTTATGTCATTGTAAAAACAAAGTCCATCTTCTTTTGTGTATATGTTTAGAATATTTCATGCCTTGTCCGCTGATATTAACATCATCGAGCAAATTCCACCGTTTTAAGCGAGAGCCTAAAAGCTCTGCTTTACTTTTTGGCAAATTTAAATCTCTAATCAAATCATTAAAATCTTCTGTAGTGATGAAATGATGTTTTGGTTGTTGTGGTGTCGGTAAAAACTCCTTATCGGAATTACTTTTATGAGAACTAAGAGATGAGCTACTTTTCTGTGATAATTTTTTCGGTGGCTCAGGTACTGGTCGTATCAGATCGTGTGCGAATGAAGTAGAAAAAGATTCAAGATCTGGATATTCGATAGGTTTTGCATCTTTACCTCTACGTCTTTTGCTCGGATTTACAATGCAAAAGTAGCAGTCGTTAACGTGGTCTTTTGGTTGTTGCCAGATTCTTGGTATTGCAAATTTCATAGACCTTTTCTCAATGTTTCTGTTTCTCAATGTTTTCTTCGATTACTGTGGCGTAGTGCATCAGGAGTTCTTGTCACATGGTCGTTCGTTCAATAAGGAGTATTATTTTGAAGTTGTGCGTCTTTCATCAGAAGCAATACGAAGAAAACGCTCACTCGTCATTTGGCCAAAAACAACACCTTAATCATGTCTCAGCCACCGTATTTACCAGTATATTTTCAACTTTTTAGTTCGATGTTCTTTGAAAGCGTGTTTTTAAACTATATTTATTGTTCATTTCTTACTTTCGTATAGCGTGTTTTTTAGTATTGTTATACTATATTTATTTTATCTAAACTTCGAGATCAATCAGCCATATATTGTTTAGAAAAATGACCATTGATATCTTCCCATTCCGGAGAGGGAGCCTGAAAAGCAGCTACCAAGCCCAAGGCAGCAGGCGCGCAAAGGAGGGTTACAAATAAAGCAGCAGGTGCGCGTGTTAATAAAAAAAAATACTTTTTTCAAATGAAGAAATGCATGTGAAGTGAGTTCTAATTATATCAAGGAGGTTACGAACAGCGCCATCTGCCCGTGAATAGATCCAGCAATAATGTCGTTATATCAAGAGGTTAGGTACAGCGTCATCTGCCCTCGAATAGGTCAAGCAATAATGTCGATAAAATATCAAAGTGTTTCTCAATGTTTTCTTCGATTACTGTGGCGTAGTGCATCAGGAGTTCTTGTCACATGGTCGTTCGTTCAATAAGGAGTATTATCTTGAAGTTATGCGTCTTTCATCAGAAGCAATACGAAGAAAACGCTCACTCGTCATTTGGCCAAAAACAACACCTTAATCATGTCTCAGCCACCGTATTTACCAGATTTGTCCCCCTGAAAGTTTTTTCTGTTCCCAAGATTGAAGAGACTTATGAAAGGTCGGCGTTTTGCAACGACTGAGGAGATGGAGAGAAAATAGAAACTGATGAATAAATAAATATTTTTTAAGAAACGTGAAAATTCACCTCATTTTTCAAACATACAGCGTAAATCATTTCATCATATCATTATTTCAATCGTTATATACTGCATATAATATTAATTGAATGTCGAGTGTTTAAAAAAGGTAACTTCCACAAAAAAGCATAACTTTTTTGTTGAGAGAGTAAGTCAATTATAATTATAGAAATGTAAGCTTTCACGTCTGGCGTGATTAGCTTCCGGGTTCTGCCGTGGTCTTCTTTGGTTATAATCTCCGTTTCAACTGCGGCAGTCATCATCAGTGGCGTGGTCGAAGTACTTTTCTTGACGTGTCAACTGAAACAATTATTATTATTTATTTCAGGAAGTAGCTAAAGACGTAGAGCCTAAAAAAATTAAAGGTGTTGGATTTGATGCGACCTGCTCCCTAGCCTGCTTTGACAAGTCTGGTAAACCTTTGAGTGTTAGTCCCACAGGTGAGGAAAATGATCATATTTTTTTAAAGAAGCTCTTTTATTTATCCATATAATAACTACATAGTATAAACAATATGTCCTATATCTGAAAAAAAAATCTCTTTTTTGATCTATCTAAACAATTAGACTCTATCATGAACCACCTACTTCTTCTAAGTGTGTTTACAAACCCTGTTAAATATTTAAAAATCTCTTTTTTGATCTATCTAAACAATTAGACTCTATCATGAACCACCTACTTCTTCTAAGTGTGTTTACAAACCCTGTTAAAAATTTGCGCTGCTCCAGGTTGTTACACAATAAACCACAATAAATCCATTGGCAAACATTTGCGTCACTTTCATTTTTGAATACTGTTTGAAAAATCTCTTTTGGATCACCAGTATTGTTGCGCTGGCTAAATTTCTTATTTATTTTTTTCTTACATCATTTCCATGTATCTTTCGAAATTCCGCAATCTCGCAACTGATGTATAGATGACTGACGCATACTTAAAAATGAAAACAAAAATTTAGTCTAATCTCAGTCTTACCTCAGTAATTCATGATAGAAAATGTGAAGTTAAAAAGCTGGTCTACAGATTTTGTTAAGAGATTTAACAATTCTAAAGGTTTGATATGTTTTTGAAGTTGAGTCTTACTCAATTATGAAATTAGAGACATTAGAATTTCAAGCATGTCAAAGTACTCAACATTTTGTTTCAGTAAAGACAAAGGTCAAGTTATATCATCATAAATCATCATATGAGTATGATAAATATTCATAAAATTCAACCAACGTACTATTTATACAGAAGTCATCGAAAATGCCCCTCAATGTGAAACTGACAGAAAAAAACTTTTCACAGAAATCCAGAAACGCGTCAACAATTGTTGCAGATAGACGTCTTGAATCTTCTTTCCTCATGTCTTATAATAATGGGATGGGACAGATTAGGCCAACTCATTCAATGAATATCTGCTTATTTCTACAGTTTTTCCTCTTAGATTTCATGTTTATAGTTTTATATTTATAGTATGAGAAACAACGGGTACTGGGAAAACATACCAGGAAATACACACTGGAAAACTTACAAAGGAACCGCCCGAGAAGAGAACTGAAGGATAGGCTAATTACTGTCTATTGAGTGGACACCTGAACAAAATAGGGCTGTATAACAGTGACCTCGGCTGCAGGCAATGCAATGATGAGACAGAGACAGCTGTTGCGAATGTGTGTTACAGAGGTGGCAAAAATGCATGAACAAATCAATTATGTGAAGAAGAATAAAATATCTATGAGCTTCAAATAGATAAAGTATACTAATTTTTGTATTCTTTGAGTGGAGGGAGTGCGTAAAAATAACTAGTTCGCCAACTTGGGTGGCCCACCAAGCTAATTCGGTTGACAATAAATTCTTGCATACATTGCAAGTTAAGTGAAATCTTGAAAAAAGGAAAATGCGGGCATTTGGTTGTATTTTACCAGATCCATTCGAGTGAAAATTTCGAAAATTATGGTTTGCACATATTTTAACCGAATAAACTTGGTACATTCGAAATTTAATCGTCGAGTTGGAAGCTATCGGGGGTTCTTGGTTTATCACCCGAATAATCACCATAATCTTCATCCATAAACATAGTGTATTCTTGTAAATGATTATATACATGTTCTTTCAGGCAATAACGAACAGAACATCATACTTTGGTTGGACCACCGAGCGGTGAAAGAGGCTGAAGAGATAAATGCCACAAATCATCAAATACTTCAGTATGTGGGAGGGAAAATATCACCGGAAATGGAAACTCCTAAATTACTTTGGCTCAAGAGAAATCTAAGAAAAGAATGTTGGGAAAGAGCTGGTTACTTCTTTGATCTTCCCGACTTTTTAACTTGGAGGGCCACAGGTTGCGATTCTAGGTTAGATTTGCTTGATGCTTGTATCAGATATAATAGCTACAGTCCATAATACAAAATAGATTCCAATACAGTTGTTGACTATGATTGGTGAAATATTTGAAATTGTGTATGTTAACTTAACAGTTAGGGATCCATACTTGAGCATTGACAAATGTTACGAAGAGTTTTAGACCCCCGATACACATAATCATCGATTTCTTATTACCATTTGAACACTGGTCATAAAGTTTCAAGAGTATATCACAAACGAAATTAGCAGCGGTATTGGATTTTGAATATACGAGTACCTATAAGAAGTGTCTGGAATAATTGTCAGTGGGGCAAAATGTGCCAAATGTGAAGTACCAGGAATGCATGTCGTCTGACTTCCTTCATCAAGCCATTCGCTAGGGTAGTTGGTATGGACTGTTTCGGTCCTTCACATATACTAAGAAGGAAAAATAAAAACGATAAGTATGGAGTTCTTTTCACCTGCATGAATGAAAGGGATGTCCCAGGACTATTTTTTCAGATAATGGAGCTAATTTACGATGTACCGAAAAATAAATGAAAAAAGTGAATTTGATCGAGATAAAACCATCTCCCATCTGACCACCAGCAGTAATACATGGCTTTCAACTCCTCCACCAGCTCCAGGTACTTCCAATGTGTGGAGCCATTCCTCATAGTTGGAATGGATTGTTTTGGTCCTTTAAATATGATAGCAGGAAGGAAAAAGGAAAACAATACTTTCGAATCGCCACTCCACTGACTGATAGTTTTGAAACAGACATATAAAAATCGTAAAAAAGTAAATAAATGTCAGACACATCTACTCACTGCGCCGATTGTTCCATCTTCTTACATCACCTACCTTGCCCCGTATGATCATTTCTGTAACCCCCTCCATTTTCGTTAATATATTCATACTAATGTGCACATATGTCTTCTATTGATACTGCTTTACACATACTTATTTTTAGGTCATCGTGTTCACTGGTTTGCAAATGGACCTACGAAATGTCGATAGAAGGAATTGAAAGCTGGAACAAATCGTATTTTGACACGATAGGTTTGGAAGATCTAGCTGAAAACAACTGGAGCAAAATTGGATCTGTAGTGTGATTTCGAATCACATTAGACAATGGAAGTCCGAACTAATAAAATTCAATAATATCAAAATTGTATTCAGCTATATTTGGACGCATGCATTTGTTTTCTGGTGGCTTCCCCCTTTTTAATAAATCTCAGTTTTATTCTCGTCTTTCTCAATATCAGTATTTTTCATTTTCAGGTTTGATTTGTGGAACTTCTACATGTCACATGGCTGTTTCCGAGGAAGCCACTTTCACTCCTGGAATTTGGGGGCCTTACAAAAACGCCATGGTACCTGGCATGTGGTTGAATGAGGGTGGTCAAAGTGCTACAGGAAAACTCATAGATCACGTCATAGATACTCATCCAGCCACACCAGAAATTAGGAAAAAACTGGGTAAAAAGTAAGGCTAACGAAAAGCTAAGATAATATTAAGTTAATGGACTAACAAAGAGAAATAATTCCAGCCATTTAATTGTTTTCAACTTCATTTAATTGCAGACATATTCAAGAGTATTTGAGCAACATCTTGATCGATTTGGCACAGCAGCAAAACCTGAAATCAGTTGCCTTTCTGACGAAAGACCTGCATGTTTGGCCTGACTTTCATGGTAACAGATCACCCATAGCCGATCCAACTCTAAAAGGAGTTGTAAGTACATCAGAAAAAAAACGTTAAAAACCTGAAACATGTCAATAAAAGGACATTTTTTTTCTTCTAGATTTGTGGTTTAACTCTTGCTGTTGACGAAGTGAACCTGGCATTGCTGTATCTCGCCACAGTACAAGCTCTGTCTGTAAGTATCTAAAAGTATAACACTTATTTTAAAGTAATATGGATCAATTAATAAACATGTTTTCAAAAATATTTGCTTTCATCAAACTGTACATACTCTAACAGTTCATAACAAAGTTATGGATGCATATATTTTTTAGGCATATTATCTAAATATATTTTTTCAAATATGTTAGTGAATATGATATTTACCAGCTAATAGTATTTGTTTCATTCAACGAAAACATATTTCCCAAACCTTTGCAAGTCTTCATTTGCACATTATTGAAAAAAGTTACTCCACAAAGCACGGAACCACAGAACACCAAGTAGTCGAATAACCTTATTTCAATATATTATAATAGTTGATGTTTCAAAAAAATATTATATTTACTTTCAGTATGGAACTCGCCACATAATACACAACCTGAAAAAATCTGGTTACAAGAACATCAAATCCACTCTTATTTGCGGTGGACTGAGCAAGAATCCCATCTTCACGCAGAGCCAAGCAGACGTTTGTAATCTCCCCGTGGTGTGTCCAGATGAAGAGGAGTCTGTTCTACTTGGGGCAGCTATTTTGGGGGCATGTGGAGCTGGTCACTTCAGAGATATGAAGACTGCTGTTCAGACAATGGGCGGCAAAGGCAAGGTAGTCGAGCCCAACAAGGACGTGATTGATTATCATGATAAAAAATACGAGGTGTTTCTGAAAATGTATGAACACCAACAACAGTACAGGAAAATAATGAATTGCTGAAATGTGTCGATTTTTTTTATTCCTGTTTGAAGTGTCTGGCATTTTGTTCATTTATCCTATATGAGTAAACTTGATTGGATTATGAGAGAAACTTCGCTTATCTCCACCCATGTTTTAGATAAAGTCTTCCCACTTCTCATCAAATGGAAGCTTTCTAGAAGTACCTACATTTATAAACATTTGCAGGCACTCAACTCAGAGTGAGTCTGAGAATTTTTGCTGTTTCAGGCCCAGATGGGTTAAACACTAACTAGAAAGAACTATCAGTATACCTACCACCACCATTCCAAAGTTTTCAACTCATAGCGTGAGACTGAACTCAGTACAAGTGTAGCCTCTTTGTGGGTCTGATCGATTATTACAAAAAATTTGAAACCACTCATGAAATTGTTCAGATTCCTTGAGCTACTTATAAAAATACCTGAGCATGTTACCTCAAGAACAAGGAGACATCGTGAAGAATTTTGTCTATGTCAAGTATCAACACAAAAACTCCAGCATGGGCACTCTCATCAAGATTGCCATTCCAATCTCGCTCTTGTCCTTTTGAGTAGTGATGTGGACTCTCTTCACCATTCTAGAGATACTAACGAATGTGTTTGCATTCCAAATTGTATATTCCTCGATTATAGTTCCCCAGATGGGAAGGACATGAACCTTCGAGTTTTTCTGTGCAGGTATCTTCAATGGTACTCGCAGGTCGTGTGAACGCGTTGCGACCCTTTAGTTGGTGAACTAGCGGTTCTTGAAGGAGAGGGTTTCAAGTTCCAAATGCCATTGAAGTCCAAGTTTGAAACCTTTTTATCAAAATCTTCGAAATTTCACCGATTCCGAGAATAGTGTTTTCTCCCCAGAGTAATCAGATAAAAGAAAATTCGTAAAACCACCAAAAATATGTAAAAATATTTTGCATAAAATATATCGTTATGGATGCTCAAAACATGGGAATTTATCCTAAACACGAATATGTAATAATTTTTTCGTTCATGTAAGTAATAATCATGTTTCCACAATTTTCAAACCTAAGACCATGACTATCAAACCAGAAAATAGCTTGGATATACCTCCAACAACCATCAGAATTCTGACAAAAAGTGGTCTTCAAGGTTCACAAAATGTTAATTTACTTAAATGATAGAACACGGTTCTCTCATGGTTCTAATTGCTCAGTAGGTATGTCCAAGTCCTCTGCAACTAACAAGGCTCCATTGCAGATCACACATATTCTCTCAACCAAACTAATTCAGCTTCTTAACTAAGGCGATTACTTTATTAGTGAATGATCTTTCAGGTCAGATGGCAAGAGTTTAATGCCAATCCCTGAATACATCATCCCGTCTAAGGTAGACAGCACAGAGTTTATGCTCCTCCACCAAGCCTGTTAACCTTCAAGGTTGACAGACCATGGTACATTTTCCTGACATGAGCTCAAATATACCTGACAATCCATTGGATTGTATGTAAAAATATTTCTTCCTGAGCAGCTAATCCCATTTAACCGAAATTGAGCAGTTCCTTTATAAGACAGTTTTTTAACTCTTTTCAATGCATACATCAAATCTCGCCTGGAATATGCCTCCCTTATATGGTCACCCATATACAATGTCCACATGAACAAAATCGAGTCTATACAAAGAGGCTTCATGAAATATATTACTTACAAGCTAGGAGTTTACCCTGAACAAGGCATCGACAACAGAATACTACTGAATAAATTTAATCTATTATCCCTTCAAAACCGAAGAACCTACTA